TATGGCTATAGTATGGACTCAACCGGCCAAGGACTGCAAACAATTGTTGCAGTACGCTGCTACAATCGTATAGCTTGGATGTTCCGTAAGTTTTCAAAGCCAGTGCATCGTCTCTACCTTTCTCATTGTAGAAGTGAACCTTCGTAATATCGCCAAGGTCCTCCTTAGAAACCAAAACATGATTGACCTTCTCAACAGAATCATGAGAGAAAATAATTTGGTTCCCTCTCATGGAATTCCTGCCAGGTGTTCGTTGAAAGCCTTGTCCATTTGGGAATACTTTGATTGTTGTAGAATATAGCCTATTTTTTGATACAATTAACTGCTCATGTAAGTGCAATGCTGTCAAACCTTTGAGCCTGTTGTAGTGGCCAAAATCTATTCCGTTTGCAATTGAGTACTTGTAGCATGTAGTTTTTTGCAAAGCCTTGCTGCATCATGGATAAAAATGGGTATGTTCTATTGTCTCTTCTCCTACTGCATGGGCTGATACAAATTCTGGATGCGAGTGGTGTGTACAATCCTGCGGTTCAGATATATAGTGTGACACAACTTTCCATGGGTCAACGGATATTGTTCCAGTACCAGTCTTGTCCGGAATTTCCAATGCACCTGCCTGCTTTAGTTGGTTCAAATGCTGGGGTCTCCTGTGCCCTGGACACAAGAAGGAGTCCCTTCCAATGGTGACTGTGAAAATGATCGGTGAGGACAAGCTAGTTGCACCCAATCGCATCTTGACTGCCAGAATTCAGCCCCACATTGCAATCATCATGTTCTACCTACCAAAGAACGATGATTGTTCGCCTCCCATCCATTATGTCTTGTAAGCTCTTCAGGATCACCCAGGGGCGTGGGAGCATTTCTGCAGAGACTGTAATGTGCACATGGTGGCTAAACTACGCAACGAGAACAATCCAATGCAGCCACTGAATTGCAACAGAATGGGACGCTTAGCAACAAGAGAATGGCCGTGCCTAGTGGGATTCCGTGCAAGACAGTGGACTGGGCAGATTCTTGAAACTTGGGTCGAAAAGGTTGCGCAGAAGCTCCAATCTGTCGCACATATCAAATGCTGCTATCCTCCTCCTTTGGAGTACGCTGGGGACATCACGCTGCCAAACATCCAAGTGCTCAGCTGTTACGTCACCGTTCAGGATATTCTGGAAGCTCTTGAACAGCGGATCTTTCCAGACATGACATTGGCAAATATCCTAGAACAGCAAGATATGACCATTTACTTTGGCAACAAATCCCTATCACTTGCGAGAAGCCATGTGGCTGCAGGATGGGGCGATGCAGCCGCAAATGGCTTCTACAAGCCTCACGTTGCACAAAACTACTTCTTCCATTAAGTCAGGACTATGATTGTTCCCTGAACCAAAACAATAGCAATCTTTGGCCACGACTTATCTTAATGTCTCTCTCAATGCTGCTGTATTTGTTATTGTCCTCTAAGACCCCGAACAGGAAAAACCTCATTTTCTCAGGCATTTCTTCCTGAGAATGTACGGCAAAAAATGAAGCATTGCAACAAAACATTGTTGCTGCGGAATGCAATTCTACCACCCTCCTTTTCTTTTCCTCATGTGTCATCACCACCATTTTTGATTCTGCGGAACCAGCATTTATTGTTGATGCTACTGCAAGTTCTTCTGGATTATAGCTACTTTGAGTAGCAGCCGACCCCAGGCATTGTTCACCTTCTTGAACCTTTGCTGCGTCCGTCTGCAAATGGGATCCATGCATATGCATCTGGTTGCCCGAAAGGTCAAGCTGCTGCTAGGAAGAAAGCGATCCAGGTCCATTATGTTATGCTGCCTACTCTCACTACCTGACATGCATGAAAGCAACATTAGCCTAGTCTTCCAATGCCATTGTGCGTGGTGCCCATAGACTTGTCTTGATCTAAGTAGAGATCGCCCCAGTGTTCTAGCCAACCAACATCGACCATATTTTGAGTACTGACTAGTATGAAGCTTGGATACCGCCCATTGCCCGACCTCAAAGTCTAGTACTAAATTACCAAGATTGAAACATACTTCCTGATCTACCCTTGGCGGGTCAAACCTCTGCTCATACATCTTAGCTTCTGAAACTAGCCAACTACCATTGGCGTACTTCCAATTTAAGGGCCCAATATCTGGTCCTATTAGATTACCATGACCAGGACCTACTTTTAAATTGACTTCTGGTAAAACATGATCCGTTCTTAAAAATACACTTTAGCCCATTACTAGATATGAGTCATCCATTTGTACTTTTCTGATCAACAAATATTGAACTGTACTTCCGGTCCTACTTGTGAGGCTAGTACCAGTGGCTCAACATGAAATCTTACTACTAGATTACCATGATCTGAACCTACTTTTGGATCTACTTTTCTTGGTCCAACATACTGGTACAGTGATTTTACATGGCCATTGTAGCCTACTAGCCATGTGTCGTCAGCAGCTGTTACTTGCCGTCCAACATCGAACATAAGTTCTTGTCCTATACATGAACCTACTAGTCAATGGCCCAATATAAATTCTTACTAGTAAAATAACCTAGACTTACTTCTTGGAATCAACAGCTGGTCCAACTTCTGGTCTCAAGAACTCTGGACCTAGTAGCTAGTAGACTACCGTGGTCAGGACATACTTTTGGATCTGCTTTTGGTCAAACATCTGTTCCTATATCTTTGCCTACTACTAGATATGAATCATGCGTTTGTACTACTAGCGCACTAACATCAAATGCACTTCTGGTACTACATTCGAGCCTACCAGTGCCCCAGCAGCATGAAATCTTACAACTCATGTTCTTATGTCTTAGCCTACAAGTAGTAATCATGCAATATTTCTAGATTACAATCATCTGGGTACAATGCGTTGGGCTCACCAGCCATCCGGTTGTCCAACTCCTGGTCTTAAATATAAGTATGGCTAGCTACTAGTACTAGGTACTATAAATAATTGTCCTTATTTACTAGTGGATCAATATCAAATTTACTTCTAGTCCTGCATAGTACTATGAAACAACAGTTGCTCAACATCTATTGAAAGAGGATGCAGTCCTCGAAAAAGGTGGTAAGCCTACTATAATGGTTTTGGTGGCTTGCAAAACACAGCCATCAATTTCCACAAACCGTTCATCACACTGTGCCCATCAATGATACTACAATGGCAAGGTACTTGTGTGCTGGTTTTCATGTTTCTGTCCACTATCGGATGAATGCAACAAATGCATATAGCTAGTATTGCTTTGGGTTCTTGAATGAAACAGACAGACAATCACAGACAATCTTGAAGACGAGACTGTAATGTATTTGATAGCAGATCATAATGACGACAATAGGACAAATCGATTGCCGTCAGGCGCAAACAAAGTAAACAGAGCATGTGGAACAAAATTGATAGAGAGCGTGTGGAGTTTGATCAAAACAAAACTGATGATTCTGCAGGTGATGACAACCATGATGATGCTGCTGATGGCCGGAGGCAGTTCAAATGTCCATAACTTAAGTCAGGGTCTGTAGTGGTGTGTAGTAGAGGATTGTTGTTGTTGTCTTCATCATCTTCATTAGAGATGGGTGGTTTTGTTTGTAGGGAAGAATTTGATTGATCTAGGATCAAGTCACGGTCCAATCAAAGCTTTCTTTGTTGTCGTATTCTCAAAAACACTTGACGGCTGACTTGAAATGTCTTTCGTATGCCAAAGTTGATGTTGATCCGCGGTAAAGGATAAGGGATTCCACCAAAGCAGTCTTTTCATCGTACTAGCACTCCAGTTGCAATGGGATGGAATAGATCCATTGGTAGCAGTGGATATCCTACCTGTAGACTGTCCTGACATTTATAGCACTTCACCGCAACAAGACTCCAACCTAGTAAAAGGCGAGGAATTGGAACATCAAAATCAAAACTTTCATAGCTACACACTGTTTGTCACTTCGCGCAATGGAAGTATGAGAGACATAAGTGTAAAAAGCTAGACTTTGCGGAAGTAAATGGAGGAGCCTGTCTCTGAGGAATTTGGATATGCCATTACTACTGATGGGAAGAGCCACAAAGGAGTTCAATTTTCCAACTGGATTGAGACCACACAGATCGAAGAATGGAATAGCAAATGTGATATTTGTCCTGTTGTGATGTTGTTTGTTATGTTGTTTGTTTGGGCGATGATTCGTTATGCACGTGCCAGCAGAGATGTGAAGTGCACATAAGCACACGTACAATTGAGCTGTGCTATGTCTGCGCGCGTTTTTCCTAAATAAATTACAGAGACAAAGAACATATGGATATACGTATTGAATAAAAAATTCAACGTGCGATTTTATGCCCAAACGACAAACTCAGAGTATACTGATTTCCCCTCCCCCAAGGAGAGCTGGTTTACTGATCATAAAAATCTCACAATGCGACCGTTGAACACACAACAAGTTCTTTGTTGGCGTATGTTTGTTGAAGAATTTGGCCCCAATTTTGTCTATTTGCCTGGAAAATATAACGCAATTGCCGACTGCTTCTCTTGGCTTCCGCAAATGGAGGAGCCGCCTGAAGGGAAGAGTCCAAATAAGGGTAAATTGATTGCGTTTGATAAATTACAGGTTTCTTGTAAAATAAAATGATTTGATTGCGCCACCAACAGAAGCCAAGTTCAACAGTACCTTTCGATGTCAGTTCTCCTGTTGCCAAGATGGAGATATTCATGAACATCTGACCATTGACGACATTGAAATGGAAGAGTCCTTTTTGAATCATCCTCCTCTACAAAAGATGCCAAACCCAATCACAATGCCAAACATACAACAACATCAAATTCAAGATCAACTGCTCATGCAATGAGCTCAACGCGATGCACAGCACTACCAGATCAAGACAATTGACGAATGACTCATCATCACCTATCAAATCGATCCTGCACATCAAGACGATTGGAGAATTTACTTGCCTTTGAGTTTGGTTGGTGATGTGATCACCTGGTATCAGCTTGTGCTTGGACACAGAGGAAAAATGTCAATGTATGCTACGATTGCAAAGCGATTCTATTCTCCTGGATTGAAGCAACAAATTGAACGATTCAATTGTGAAATTTGCCAACTCAATAAAGCGGCGAATGTTCAATATGGACAGCTACACGAACAACACGCGGATTTGGTTCCATGGTTCTCAGTTGCTGTTGATTTGATTGATCCATGGAAAATTGACGTCAACGGTAGAGAGCTTGAATTCAACGCGTTGACTTGTATTGATCACGTGACAAATCTCACTGAATCTGCTTTTATCAAGAATAAAACTGCGGCACACGTGGCAAACGTGTTCAAAATGCTGTGGTTGTCGCAATATCCGAGACCATACAAATGTATTCACGATCAAGGAGGCGAATTCATTGGCAAAGCTTTTCAAGCGAAACTTGCTACTTGGGGAATCCATGATGGCGGAACCACTAGCAAGAATGCGACTGTAAATGCGATCTGTGTACGAATGCATTTGACAGTGGCCAACATTTTGCAAACCAGATACAACAATGCTGCTCCAAACTTTCAAGTTGCTGTTGAAGAAATCAAGCGAGCTCTAGCTGCTTGCAATCATGCAATGAGATGTGCTGTATCAACAGCATTGATGAACAATACTCCTGGTGAGACTGTGTTTCATCGTGACATGCTACTAAACATTCCTATGATTGTCGATCTACTTTCTATGCAGCAAAAGAGACAGTACAAGATCAATGGAAACTTGAGGATACAGAATGCAAAGCGAAAAGAAATATAAGACAGACTTCTGATTATTCTGTCTGAAAGACGTAATCGTGTTCCGGTGGGTTTCCTGTTTCAAAATGCAGCTTTGCATGACCATAATAGTACTTTTTGTCACCTTTGGTCTAGATGGATCTGGTACTACCGGTAGGGTGAATGCCTTGTCCTTCTTGGCAAAAAAGATATCCAGCGCGGCTTTTCAGACAAGTTCTTCGATTGCTCATGTTTTGGAGCATTTGCTGAGTCCACCATCTGCGCTGCAGTCCTCAGCATCATTGGAAGATCTAACAGATGTCAGAATTCCGTTGCGGAAGGAATCTGGAGTTGAGATCCTGCCACATGTTGCCACTCCCTCCAATTGGGACAAGTTGTTGCTACAACGGAGCGAACACAAGAGCAACAAATGGATTGGCGGAGGAGTTGGGTTGTGTGGTGATTGCTCCTGATACATTCCGAGGAACCACTACTACCTTTATTCCCAAAGCAATCTGGCTAGCATTATCCACGCCCCAAGATCGAGTCAATGATGATCTAGATTCGATTTGTAGCTATGTGGAATCAGGGATGATTTTGCCGGATTCTTCCACCACAGCCTTGCGGCCAAGTGGAAGTGGCGTTGCCAAAGCAAACCAGTCGTCTCCAAACAAGTCCAAAATGAGATGTAAATTTGCAATTCTAGGTTTCTGTTATGGAGGAGGTAAGGCAATTCGATATACTACACAACGGAGACGAGACGCTGCCACAGTAGTATTCTACGGAATGCTGGTCACAGATACCCAAGAGCTGCAGAATCTCGAGGCTCCTGTGTGTGGTATCTATGGTCGAAACGATGTTCAGTTCCCTATACCATTACTAGAGGAATTTCAGAATGCGCTAACAAAAGCCCAGGTGGAAAAGGATGTCAAGATTTATGAGGGAGTTGGACATGCCTTTTGGAAAAACATGGAAGGAGTGCGCCATGGCAACCAACCACAGCAACAAGCGCTTCAGCAATGCACTACATTCTTGAGGAAATTCTTTGATTCTGACAACTAGCTGCTATACCTAGTAGCGGAATGAATTCCTGGATGCTTTGGATAGTCGTCAGTTTTTATGACCCCGATCCACAAAAAAAAAAACCTTCCCATACCCACTTTCGGGCTTTTCACCATAGAAATTTAAAATGATCTTTTGTTAAAGGCGTCACAATCTAACGCCGATTAGACGGTTCGACGCGCATTCTTTCAAGGATTTTAGCCCTATGCTCGAAAGTAAGTTGCGACAATTTTTGATCTTGTGACGACAAATTTACTGAATTCACATCACCACTCACAATACAGGATTGGTGGAGAAGTTTTGATCAAGAATACTGATGGAAGGAAGTTGGATCCAAAATACAGAGGTCCGCATCCTATTACAAATGTTTACACTAATGGTACAGTGGAAATTCAGCGCACAGATGCGATCCGTGAAAGGATCAACATCAGACGGCTTGTGCCATTTTGTCGAGTCTAATGGACGATATGCTTGCATCGCCCATTGCGTCAAGAACCACCTCTGAAGTTGAATGGAGAATCAAGCGGATGTAAGGACGCCTTGTGACTTTTAGTGTATGATCAATCGACTGGCTCTGATCATAGAAGGGAAGAGTGTAATGACCTTGGAGTGACCTTGGAACTAGATTATATCCTTTGGAGTTACAGACATAGCTTTAGGCCTAACTCTCACGTCACTCCTTTCTGTGGCTTTCTGAGAGACTCTATAACTTTTGTTGTGACCCATTCCTATCTCTTCTTCTAGGCTGGTTCAGAGAGTTCTAAATCTTTTATCCCCACAAATCAATTATCTCCGGGTCATTGAAGACCCAACTATATTATAGTTGGGTCTCTTTTCGGCACAACTATTTTTTTCTTTCTGACCCAAACCAACTATTTTTTTCCGGCTCGACCAATCACAGCTGCCCCAAAAAAAAAGAGTTGGGTTGGGTTCATTGACAACCCCTAATGTTACTGTACCCTAGATCTCTTGCTTGATTTTACCTGCCCTTGCTTGGAGTTCCGCTTTTCCGATGCAAATTCTAAGCCAGAGCAATCACCACAATCTTCAATCTCTTCCTGTACCGACTGCAAGCGTGTAGATAGAAGATGCTCTTGTTCATCCTGCTTCGAAACTTGGGATACCGTTTTCTTCAAAACTTGGCAAACACTTTTCTTCTGCCTCCTAGCATTGGTTGGACGCTCAGGAATCAACAGATGTGACTGAATAATATCTTCTATATCGTTGCGCCGTATCTTTGTTGCAGCAGCAGACCGGGTTTGTTTTGGGAATTCCAATATAGATGACATTTCCTGTGAAAATGATTGGAGTACTTCTATGAATCTTTCGCGGGGCAAGTGTGATTTGCTTGCGATCTGAGTGATTTGCAAACTGCAGCCTTTCTCCATTGAAAAGCCCATTGTCAGGGCGGCACAGCCCAGTGGTGGATCTTCGAATGGAGCAATTGCACGGCACAAAAGAAGTACAACTGATGATGATAGCCAGTGGCGAAGGAGAGAGATATTGATCTCGCCACTCTCCACAGCAGTGCGTTTTGGACTGTTCAGTTTTCTACGTAATGGGGAAAATAAGGAAAGCAGCTGCCCATCGCCTTCTATCAAGTTCATGATCCAATGAACATCAGCCAAGGTGGATCTCCTCAAAACCGTCCGTCCAACATCATCCACAGTCAATTCGTCAGGTAGAGTCCGACCGTCTTCATCGTGCTCATTCAGTTTCTGGAGTGCCAAAGAAACGGCACTATCGAGTTGTTCTTGACGGCTTTGCTGTCGGCTTTGCGACGGCCCGACTGAAAAAAACGCATTCAATTCATCTTTTTGTGTTGTACATTGCAAAGCGCACAAAATATGATCCCCAGCAGCAGAAAATGCCGGACCATTAGTTGCTAGAGCGAATTGGTATCCTCGTTGTCCCTCTGTTTTTAAGTCACTGTATGGTATTAGTGTCTGACGGCTACTGCAGCTGATGTCAACATATGGTCTATGGCGTTTTGATTGTTGCTTCAGCGCTTTATCAGCAGCATATTTTTCCCTAAAGGCCTCAGCAGCTTGTTTCACTGCTACCATGCCTTCACATTCTGGAAATAACATCGCCAACAGTTTCGCAGCAGCTCTATGTCTCGCTTCACGCTTTGTCCCGCCAATTCCAATGGCTTGAAGAATGTCAAAAGATGGTTTTCCTGGATCCGGGTTGCTAATTTCCACACTCATTGTTCCAGTGCAGTTGAAACTTCCGCGATGGATAACACTCGTAGTGCACAATGGCCCACCTGCCTTTCGCTTCAGGTGATGCTTGTGCCTCAGAGGTGGACCGACTGCTGAAACATGGTATGTATAGACTGGTGGTTCTGGGATTTTTTCATCGATTTGTACCATGGCATGCAATAGTGCGCTGCAAACTGATGCACCCCGAGAAGCATAATACGTATCTTCATTTTCTTCTTCCGAGGTTGTAGAGGTCTCAGGGTACATGTTTTTTCTCCGGTGAAGACCATGCGTCTTCTCGGCGTCTGCTGTAGCGACCCAACTAGCCTGGTCGTCCCTTTCATTCTCTCGTCCGATAGCAAGTAGTTTTGCAAGATTTGGTGCCAATTCTTCAGCTGTAGTGGCAGCCTCCCGTTGAGACCAGAGGTTTTGAACACTCTTTCGAGAAACAGAGGCCTCCGGCAAATTGATAAGGATACCACTTGCTTTGTCGAATTCGACACCAGGCAGCAGAGTTTGCAACGCAAGACGTGCCGCCTCTTGCTTGGCACCTGATTTGTTTTTCCCTTGTCCGTGTCCAAAAACACGTCCATCAACAGATACGACTATTTCAAAATCTTCCCCTCCGACCGTGGGACCAATTCTTTCATCGCTTCGATCTTTCAGCTTGAAGTGTGGTGTTGTTCGTCGTTTTTCACAAAATACATATCTGAATGATTCAATAAGAGACGAGTCAGAAATATTATCATTGCAAAACAACAGCATTCCATGCGCATTATTTCCTCACAATGCTGCAACACCAGTTTTCCCTAGGAGCGAGCTGTTATCTGGTTCTGGCTGACGTTGTTTCTTCTTGGTGATATTGTACGCATTGCCTCCATCACTCCCTGATGATGTCAGCGCAACTCTTCGATTCCTTCGACGACTCCTGGTATTGTGACATGAAGGCTGGGATTCGCTGTGCGATGACCTGTTGTTTCTTGCTCGTCTCCTTCTCCTTCCGCTGGGTCCAGTCACTGGGGATAGGTATGAAAGACTTGCATTTTCGCTGCTGCTACTTGGAATTGCCGAAGGAGGCCCACATTGCTGTCGTTTCCGTCGTCGATGCATACATTCGGAAGACGAGGAGTTCTCAAAAGCATCGTCCTCGTGAATTCCGTAGAAATTGTTTTCGGGCTGCAGTTGGCCATCAAATCCGACGAATTGCGTTGGGGAATTCTGTGGAACTAGATATGGCTGCATCATTGGTACATTTTGAAACATGTATGGTGGCCTGGGTAAAAATTGCGGAGCGACTGGGTAATGCATTGCGTTTGTTGTCGTTGAAGCTGAGGCCATATCAGCTGCTATCTGAGCGCTAACCCATGCCGCTCCAGCAGCTGCGTTTGCGAAGGCTGCTGCGTGATCTCGCATCTGGGTTTCGAAGAAATGTAACAAGTGCGAAGGCTGTTGAGGATACGGCGGACTTGGAGTCGGGTTTGCAATAGCGTCAGGCCACGGCATATGATCAGTGATTGGTGGTGGATGGCATGGATCGTTTATCTCGCCATGCGGGTACTGTGCACTTGCAGGAGTAGTTGGGTATCGACTGGGATTGCAAGGATCGGTTCTTCTTGCAGTACCTGTATCAAAATCGGATTTTGGCGCTAATGCCATTTTCTCTTCCTTTGCTACCTTTGAGTCAGATATGAATCCACTACCTTCATCTTCTATCCGTTCTACATCATGCTGATGATTCATCATCTAAATTTGCGAAGTTTACTTTCTGACATAGTAACTGCAACGCGATATTGGAGAGATACCGGTATGGTACTTTCTTTTTAGTCCGTGTGGTCATTTTCACCCTTTTCTGCAATAGTCTCTCATGATGAAATTGACTTAGGGCAAATTAAAAGCGACCAGTCGAGTATTTAACAAGCAGAAATTGCGTTAATTCTTCCACCACTGTTCGCTCTAGTTCGCTAGTCGTGCATTCGCCGAAGCGGAAAATCATGAATTGTCGTAAAATGCCGAAATTCCCAACAAGAAATCTACGACAATTCTAACGGTAATTGAGTACAATTGACGACATTTCTAACGGGGACGGCCGGGAAAATCAATATTTACTCCCAAGAATTGTATGCTAAATTTCTATTTCCCGGCCGTTCCGGTAATTGAGTACAATTGACGACATTTCTAACGGTAATTGAGTACAATTTACGACATTTTTAACGGTAATTTAGGACAATTGAAACGGTAATGGGGGACAATTTTAACGGCCTCGATCGTGCTAACTGAACCGTTTTTTTTTAAATTGAAAATGTGAGCCTCCCTCGGAAGCAAGTGATCGGTGGACAATGAAAGTGCTATAAATCTACCTCCGATTACCATTGATGACTACACGGAGCACAACATCGGTGTTTTCTTGTCCAGTATGCGATGGACCATGGGCATCCTATCTTTGAAGCAAATACTGTACCACCAGAGTGAATAAACTAGGGTGTCTTTGAACTAAATA